GTGTTTGTGTGGTATAGGACAAACTGCATAGACTGTGAGTTGAAAAGAATTGTATCTAAAGAGAGAACGGTTCAGTGAGCTTCTTACAGGAGTGTGACGTAGTCAAGGATAGAATGGCCCCTCTAGTCTATACAATATGCAAATGAACTGTATTGAGTTGCATAATAACAACAAAAAGTTATACAAGTAAAACACCGTATAGGTCTTTGTATCATATAAAACGAAACAGAATGTTGGAATATGATTAAAGTCCCGCTAAAGTGTCGGGAGCCCCTGCAACACTTGGATAAACTAACTACTGTCTGTTCTTGCCCAATAAAGTTCGATTTCGCACCTTGTTAGAGAGCTATTCAGTAGTTATTCCCCCTGCATTCCACCAGAGACAATAACCATAACTGTATTTGATGATGATGATGATTGTTTTACCTGACAGCTAAGAATGCATATATACACATGTATGCTTATAAAGTTAGCTCAATCGGGCCGCTAGAGACAACAATTTACAAACTCGTTCTCATGTAAATTCGAATTAGGCAAAAAAAAAAAAAAAAAAAAAACGTACGATTAAATTAGTACATGTATCAGTGTAAATGAGTGTAATGGGTGAAACTAAGTAAACGCAGAACATTACATCAAATCTCTATATATTTATTCCTATCGATGTGATGATAATACTGTAATGTGATTTGAAAATTGATGTTGTGAGATTTTGACAAGCTACGTGATATGCTAGGGGCTTAAATAAACAACTTTTCTTTTGTATCGCATGATTGAAGATGAAGCATTGTGAAGGGATGATGATATACGGTTTCGTTTGCTAATCTCATTCCTATAGCGAAAGCTGCAGCCAATGCTTAAATTACGTTTTACTTTCTCTTATTTATCTAGTGTCCCAATGTGACACTCGTGAAACTACTATTTGCAAAAATCTGCCTCAAATTGTGATTACGATTATGAAAATGATCTTTGTGCACCAGATGTCTTCATTATAAAGAAGGGAACACAGATATATACATGAATTGACTGTAAATTAAAAATAATCTTCTTTGCGAGTTGAAACACAAAATTCTAGCCTGCTGTATATAGCTGTGAAAAAAACAGCTATTTTCTAAATTGTATATGTTGTGTATCACTCTAGTCAATACTAAGAAGGACAATATGTAACAAAGAGTGAGAGATAAGTGGAAACTGATGCAGAGTGAGAAAATACGAGAAAGGGACAGGGTTGAAAATCATAGAGATACAATCCAAGATAGACAGGCAGACAGAGAAATAGAAAGAGAGGAAGAGACAGAGAGAGAGAGAGAGAGAGAACGTGTGAGAGGGAGAGAGAGAGAGAGAGAGAGAGAGAGAGAGAGAGAGAGAGAGAGAGAGAGGATGGGGTGGTAACAATACTGTTAGATAATAACACAAATGGATCCTACAGGTCGATGATTACATTGTCGACTGCCTAATATGGTATTGTCCAGTGAACAGACAAAAGAGCATGCTTGGTCGAGTTGCACCAATTTTTCTTCAGATTTACGACCATTCATGTTTTGGGCCAGTGGGTTCTGCAACGTTTCTTCAAGGATAACGATCCTAGACGAACAATAATTTTACAATTATCAACTGAGGCACAATTATATTTCCATTGTTTCTCCAATGATGACGATTCTAGATGCAGAATGGTACCGAGATCAACTGAGGCATTGTACTTTTGTTGTTTCTCCAAGGATGTTGATTCTAGACGCAAGGGTGTACAATGATAAAATAACTGAGGCACAACTGTATTTCTATTATCATAATAACAGGCTTACGTTAAAAAAATATAAAAAATAAAAGGTGTATAGGTTTAATTTCAAAAGGGTCAAAGTAAACTGTCATGCTTAGCTGTGCATGCTCTGGTGACAAAGTGCACCGCGGTCAGTTTCTCACTGCACTAACAAAATCAATTACTTCAACTCTAGATCCAATACAAACATTATCCTACATGTAACTGTAACCCAAAAGCTAACTTCAAAGGTTGCAACTAATCGCAACCAATAATCTGGCTGTTATGTTTGTCGCACGAGCAAAATGTTGGATGTATCTCCATGTGTATAATATATCGTTCCAAATCAATATCTTACATTAAAACACCCCATAAGTTACGGTGTTCACTGCATCAAATAAACCAACGGATAGAGAAGGAATATAATTCCAGTTTAAAAAAATACAAAACTTGGTAAGGGTATGAATAGTTTTGTAGTTAACTGAACATGTAGTTGTACAAAGAAACAACGAGGAATCTTCGCCCAATCTGACCACAGAAGGAACAAAAACAATTGAGTAGGTTTCGTGGTATAGTGGTTCATTCACTTGACTCTCAATCCAAGGGTCGAGGGTTCGAATCCCAGCCAGGCACTAACGTTCTTTGGCAAGACATGAATCCATATTGGACACGCTTCACCCAGGTGTAGATAGGCACCTGGTGATGATGTGCCTATATCAATTGCAGGGCCCGCAGATATTGCAGTATTGATAATGACTTGGCTACTCGGGATACATAAGACAATTGTTATTACTATGTTTATTCACCAATGAATGTGAATTTCCTTCTAACACGCTATATAATAATTTATCTGTTTGAATTTCTCCACCTTCTTTTTTTCTTCTTCTAACATCAGAAACAAGTATGGAAATAGTTAACATTAAACGTGTAAAGTTTGTTATAAGACTTCTCTTTGCAGTAGATTTTTATTTTATGCAGTGTATTCAAACTATATTGTTATATTGTTGAAGTAATTTACCAATTAGGTGAAATGTAGAACAACTCGTCCAATTTTTTTAACGTGCAAGATTATTTGCAACCATTGTCGATTGCCTAATTTGTACTTTTCCGGACGTGCCTTCTTTTTTTGTTTTTCTCTTTGCATTTTCTCTCCGTTAACCACAATTCCTGATTATTAATGACTCACACTTTCCAGCCCTGTCTCCTAAGCCACATTTATTGTTATCAACATAATCTTTGTTTTATGCAATTTGCCTGTATCATTTGCGCGTGATATATTGTTTCTTGCTACGCTCTCAACTCCTCTGGGACCGGGTTGCACTTTAGTCTTGCTATTCATCGTCGACGCCATCGTTCATGTTTTTTCCCCGAAATTCATAATTTCTTTGCTACATATATTTTAATTTATTGATTTTCTAAGTATACTTTGTTCAAGATATATTGTAAAACAGCATCTGAGGAACTAACACTTCAACAAGCTCTGCTTCTAGTAAGTACCTCTTTTCTCGTGCTATTTCTTTTGTAATTATTTGTCGTTTTATTGTATATTTTTGTGTAATATACTTATTCATTGTATTATGTTTTGCATGAGAAATAAAATCATTTGAATCATATCATTAATACCACCCATTACTTTAGTCACGTACAATGCCGATATTATCAGAAGTCAGTTGTGACGTCATTCAACCTCCATTTATTCGGATTGAATCAAATTTCGAACATCACCATAAAACCTTTCGGGGGCCTCATTAGAAAGGAGAAGCCAACGAAGGAGAAGAAGATTATTCTGTAGTCGGATTTAGGTTTATTGGAGGATACCAATTTTCGTTGAACAATGAATTCCTAGCCCGAGTCAGTGGCGGATTACGAGTTCGGTATGAAAGGGGTGCGACCCGGCCTCCTGGGGCCCGTTCCTCGAACCCGTCATAAGTCTAACTTCTTGACTATCCCATTAAAACGTGTGTTATGGAATTAACACGCGTTTTAATTGGATAGTCAAGAAGTAAGACTTATGACGGTTTCGAGGAACGAACCCCTCCATACCAAGCTTAAAACGAAAGGTGCGCCTTTGGGAAGCGAACAGGTCATAATATTGGAAGTTGAAAAGGAGTAATGTAGGAAGTGGCACAACATTTTGGTTACAACACTGTAAATTGAAATATTTAATAGCAATTAAGCCAAAATTGACTGGTTGTCATTAAAAACGTAAACGACAACAAAATCAAACAATTTACATCATCAACAACAACTGTCTATCACAACCAACTGCGACACTAAAATTCTTGTTGACCATTGAGGCATAACAGGGAGGCTGTAGCAATAAAATACACCTTTATGTTGGTACACGTTGTTCGCTAGGTTATGGTTCTATCACTGTTGATTTGAGTTTGATAGTGATTCTTCAATTAGCTTTAAAGAAAAGAAGATATCCATTTCACAATTTCACTTTGCGAATGGAAACGTTTCTGGAAAACATCAAACTTTTGAATACCATATTACGATAAAGAGGGGGTAGAGGGGAGGGAGTTATACACGTCCACTCTTTTTATAACATAAAAAATATCCTTTCGTGGTTCATGTACCTTGTTAATAATAATAATAATATCGAATATTTAGGAGCGCTAAAAACAATAAGTACCATAGCGCTTACAAATACAAATATATGTAAAGATAAGCTATGATGGCGCTCTTCATACTACGTGTAATCAGGGGGGGGGGGGGGGGGTTAACAAAGATCCTAAGTTGAACTTATCTCTAAGTTGTACTTAACAATTATGGTAAGCCGTTAGCATCTATGAAAATATTTTGTAAAAGGCATGAAATGTTAATTCAAATCATTCATATTTTCTATAATCAAGGAGATGTCATGTGATTGATGTGGAATTTATAAAAAGTCTAAAGTACTTGATTTTTGGCTTTTGAATATAATTTATTTCAAAGCTACAAATAGCTCTCCATAATTGTTAAGTCTAACTTACAGTTAAGTTCGACTTAGGATCTTTGGGAAACACCCCCTGAGGTATCAGTATGCTAGGCCTACCCTTTTCTACCTGTATCGTCTGCAACTTTTAATCCCCGGTCTTTATTCTGTCGCCCGATACCATATGAAGACGTTTACAACCATAGACGAACCTTTCCGCAAGTAATAACCCGTTAGATGTTTCTGTTCAGTAAATCCTTGGGTGTTTCACAAAGATCCTAAGTTGAACTTATCTCTAAGTTGGACTTAACTGTTAAGGAAAGCCGT